CATGGAAACCACACATCTCTTCACTGCGCTGGACCCAGATTGACCACATCGCAATCAGTTACCGCTGGAGAGAGAGAGAGAGAGTCAATTCAAGACTGCCGCTCTTACTGGTCCACACATGTGGATACGAATCACGCCTCGTTACGAGCCAAATTCTCCTTACGCCTGGCAAACAACCGCAAGAAAGCCACCGACAACGGATACCCACGATACAGCGTCAGCGATTGCTGCAAATCGGCATTCAAAGCGGAACTCTCCGATCGCCTATCAGCTCAATCATCAGTCGAAGGACTCAATGAACACTGGAAGCAAATCAAAGAAGCTATGCAGATATCGATAGAAACAACGTCGGACCCTGGCGCAGACTGAAAACACAAATGATGGATTTCGTTGACCCCGGTTGCCCTGCTAAATGCCCGCAGAACCCTTTCTCCGGATGCCACATACGACACAGAGCGCAAATCTCTCAAACGCCAGCTCATCAAGAGTCTGAGGAATGACCGCGAGAAATGGTGGATAGACAAGTGTAAAAAGATAGAGAAAGCTGCGGCTATTGGTAATAGTTGTAATCTTTTCCATCTAATTAGGAATATGGGCCGTAGGAAAATAGGCGTAAGTGAGGTAATTAAGGAATTCGATGGCACACTGATTCACCATCAGTAACACCGTCTTGACCGTTGGGCTGAACATTTCGCGGTTCAGTTCAACTGGCCGCCATCAACATCTTATCTTTCACGCTGGACAAATGCTCCCAGTTGACGTCAGTCCTCCATTTGAAATGGAGGTTTCCCCGGAAAATAAGTTATCTCAAAAGGCATAAGGCCTCTGGCCCCGATGGGCTGTTCCCATCAGCGTTTAGGGATGGAGGCTCAGCGTTAGTCTTGGAGTTGACAAAACTCCTGGGTTCAGTATGGGAACGGGAAGATGTTCCAGCTGAATGGTGTGAATCGGTGATCATACCGATTTACAAGAAAGGTGATAGATCCTCTTGTGAAAACCATAGATGAATTAGTTTAGTCAACATTGTCTGTTAACTTCTCGCTGGGATCATACTCCGCCGATTATCTGCCGCACGTGAACGGTGCACACGTGAGAACCAGGCCCGGTCCAGGTTGTATCGACCACATCTTCACTCTCCGCCGAACTCTGGAGCACCGGTATTCTTTTCGTATACCCACCATCTGTCTTCCTAGATCTGAAAACGGCTTGAGACTCAGTCGACCGCTCTAAACTGTGGCGCTACCTTTCCCTGAAGGATGCACCCAAGAAGTTAATTTCAATATTACGATCGCTTTATACTAATAGCCGAAGTTGAGTCCGAGCTTACGGCACTCTTTCGCCCGAGTTCACCACGACAAGTGGTGTTTGTCAGGGTTGCCTTCTCTCTCCTTTTCTATTTAACTTTGTCATATATTTGATCATGGAAACAGCCCTATCCTCGCGCGAGAACAGCGGTATCGATTTACTTCCAGGTGACAATCTGTTTGATTCTGGAGTATGCAGACGACATTGTGCTACTAAATGAAGATCCAAGCAAGTTGCAAGCCTTTCTAGATAGTTTGAGTACCAGTGCAGCCTTTTTCGGTATGCGTTTTGCACTTGGGTTGGTTCAGCACCCAGGCTCACTGGGGAAGTAATAGAGCAAGTGGCCATGTTTTGTTATTTGAGCAGCTACATCTCACCCGGGGGACGCATCACGAGTGAAGTGTCAGCTCGCATACAGAAGGCTTGGTTGGCATTTACAAACTCGAAACATATGTTGCGTCGTCGAGACATCCGGCTGTCTGTGAAGGGTCAAGTGTATGCTGCAGCAGTTCCTCCAGTTCTGCTATACGGAGGAATAACGTGGTCATTAAGAAAACAGGATAAAAATAGACTGTCGGTGTTTGAACACCGCTGTCTACGCAGCATTGCACGAATCTGATGGGACAGCCGGACGGGCAATGCTGAGGTTAGGTGTAGAGTTTTAGGTAATCGCGATCGCTCAGTGGATCAAGTGGTCGACCTCAACAGATTACGTTGGTTGGGGTATGTGTTGCGCATGTCACGAAATAGGTTGTCACGGCGAGCGATGTTCGCCAGGGCAGATAGTGGGTGAAATAAAGGATGGTCAAGCTAAGATCTGAGGATATGAACATTCTAACCAGGAGTGTGGGTCATATGTGTCCCGTTAGGCTCCCTGGTTGGGGACCTCGGGACGATGGTAATTGATNTAGGCCCCGTTAGGCTCCCTGGCTGGGGACCTCGGGATGGTCGTAACCGAGGGTTAGAGACACTGAGTGATATGGCTGGGTGTCGTAAACAGTGCCGTTCGTGCATCTTCTCAATTTCTTTGCAACCTTAGACCACTGAACTTCTCCATTTTTTGTTCGACTCCACTCTCAACTTTCCTGTCTTCTCCTATTCTTCATCCAAATGGGAAGCCGAAAGACAACAACCAAAACTGGCGCTCGAAAGTTCATGGGTAATGGTTGTTCGAACTGAATTGAACTGATCTATTTCCTTATTTGTTAACCGGTAAGATAATCGACTCACATCACTCAGACGAAACCTGCTCAGTTCCTCCACTAAACCCAGGGGCTTTGTCAATTTCGGGGACAGAGCTCAATCTCCATCCTTAAAAGCTGACAGGGACGAGCCACACGGGTAGGAGGCCTAATATATACNGGTAATATTTTCCGAGTAATCTCTAATTACTGAGGATAGTAGTGGTCCGGTTCAACTAACTCTACTTCAAGTGAGTCCAACCGATCGCATTCTACTGGGAACCCCGAAGATTGGCATCTCATTTGTCACACGTCACCAATTGGGTTGGGTTAACCAAAACTCAGTCTATTGGGAACGAAATTATCTCTCTATGGATAAGCAAAAGTACTTTTTGAGTGAGTTACCGATTGAGAATGCAAGTTTCAGTGGGGTGGGGGTTGACTGTCTGTCCCAAACCCGGGAAATTTAGGTCCTCTACGTTGATAGTGAGCTTTAGACGAGAATGAACGAATACAGCGCTAATTGACCTCAGTCGACCAGTGAGGAAGCGATTCATGTTACGATGGATCGACAAATCGGTCACCATGCTTACACGTCAATGTTGGTGATTCATTGCATGAGCGGTCCCAGTCTAGGCCCTCAATAGCATAGCGAGCAATTGCCTACACACTTCTGTCACTTAAAGACACACCAGAGAACAAACTTAACAGCGGTACTCAGATAAATTGAAAATATTAGCAGTATTTCACCCGAAGAGTAAGAATTCGTTCACTAGGTAACAGAAATTACATTCTTCCAATATTGATTCACGTCACCAGCATATCAGATCCTGGGCGGTGTTAAAATCTGTCACCCGAATTCCCCTTTTTAGTTCCAATGAAAACCCCAACATATCTACTAGACCCGTGCTGAAAGTTCATCGTTTATTCCTATATCTGCAAGCTTTTTTATGTCATACGAGTACTACTATCGAATAAAACAAATAAACGTCACTTATACGGACTCACTTGTTTTATTTTTTCGTCTACTGTCAGGCGCGTTAATTCCGGGAATTGTTCAACTAAGGGTAAATGAATAAATCGATTTCCCGTTAGGCTCAAACGTTTAAGTCGTGGTAGATGAAGGCGCCGTGGAAACACTCGAAGTGCGTTCTCGGATAAATCCAAAAGACGAAGATTCACACATCGAGCGAGATGAAGCGCATTGATGCTTGTGTAACCACAAGCAGGGAGAGAAAGAACACGAACCCGCTCCAAACAGCTCGCACGGGAAACTCGTAGTATTTCTGCTTCGTCTAACGGCCGATCATCCTCTTCTACAGAAAGGCTGAGTGGACAGTTGGCTGTTAAAAGAGAATAATCGTAATTATTAGTATAGAAGTTATGTACTCTTTTCTGTAACTTATGTCTTAAGTATCTATTTAGCCAACCAAATACAGTGAGTGATTTCGATAATTCCAATGTCACTATTCAATTTGTTACTTTAAAGTGGATAAAAGCTCTAATTATTTCTGCATACTAGTGCCCTGATTATTATGTTTTCTCATGCTGAGGAAACTGATAAAATAAGAATTACGGAACACCTATGCATTGGACTGTTTAAGAGACAAAATTCAGCATCCGAAGTAATCACTAGGAATTGATATTTGTGCTATTTATTGACTTAAATTTAATCACATACCAGTGAAAATAAGTGGTTTTTAATAGTCGAAGAGATCTCTTAAATTATGAGTCAGTAATAAAAGTTTAGGAATCAAGATGAGTGAGCCAAATTAGTGAATGAGTTAAGAGGTACAAAACGAGCAAACCCTATGGGACGTTGATATCATATGGGAGAAAGCACGATTCTAGTCGCGACCACACAGCAAGTATACGTTTTTCTTAAAGGCCTACTATCTATTTGTCAAACAAAATCTTTTTATTACGTTCATCTTCACCAAGGCTGTGCAACATAAAAGCTTTACTCAAGAAGGGCGCTTATCCTAGGCTCCGCATACATTTATCAAAACTTTTGCGGCACCAATGCAGGTGATTATTGCCACTTTTCGACCAGACACCTATATGTGATGAAATTCTATATCAATAGACGCAACAAAATATAGGCAAATCAGGTAGTCTTGAATTTCTCACCCATTTCGCTGTCCGCTCTTGGATCGACAACGGTAAACTGTGCACGACCAAGTTCCTCTAACTGAACGTCTGATAGTTGTGCAATTGCCTGACTACCCCCAAGTAATTGCACAAGCTCATTGCTATCCAGGCCGGACGAAGCAACCTCATCTTCAAACGAATTCATTCCTCCAATCGAACTCAACAAACTAGAACCTCCAGCTCCACCAGCTGTGTCCACGTAATATGGGGTGCCGTTTTGCACCACCATGGAGCCAAACATATCACCTCCAAAGTTCATTGGATCAGATGGGTAGGTTTCTCCCTGCAGTCTGATTTGTACTACATCACCAGCATGTCCTGTTGCGTGCTTGCCAGATGAGACCCTGTGGGACCTGAACAATGTACAGCAAATTATTATTGTAATGAAATAATTAAATAAAAGACGAGAACATTATGCGTCAAAACAGGGAAGTTATTCAAAAACGTTATAGGTAACGTGCAAACCTTAACATCATCGGATGAGATAGATCGTACCATTTATCAATACCGTACGCCTGATTATAGCCGTGCGAGCCACTTGTTTGGTTTGAGCCTCCTGTGTGCCTCAACTGCAGTCCGCTAACTGCAATAATTCTTCGAGCAAGTTCAGCAAGTTGACGGGAGTGCGTTAATAGAACCGGTTGTAGTCGAACCAGCCATGCAGCAGCTTCGTTTAATCCTAGTTCATAAGGAGTCAAATTAGAACTCGATCCACGAGAAGCGCCGGAAGCGCGACCACAAACGGCGCTGATTTCGCGAATCAAGTCCATTTCGTCATCCAACCTTGACTAAAGAGGTATCGATTGATTAAAAACAAATATTACCTGAGGAAGTTCACTAAGTCGCTGTGCATCGGCATAAACATAACTCTCATTAATTGTGCAAAGTTCTCTGTTCTTGAGGCCAAACTGCGGTATCTCTGATGATAAATCCATAACAGTCTGGGCAATAGCATTGCATTCCTCGTGTGAAAGCTTAAAACATAGTACTCAGAACTCGTAACTTACGGCTTGTAGAGTGTTTTCTCTTTTTGATCCAGAACTGAAAATGAATATAACAACAAGCCGGGAAGGATAACAAACCTGGACTTATGCAGCAACATAGATGCGCTAGCAGGGGCCGCATGAGCGGGTTGAACTGTTGGAACTCCCGATTGTGAGTCGCTGTAGTCCAATTCATCAGTATCACTTCTACCAGGAACAATTGAGCCCGGTGGGTAGTAACCTCCTCGAGCATTCGGGAATTCGAAACCAGTTAGCCTGACGGCTTGTTTGGCTAATATGGCTAAATCGCGCTTGTGGTATATAGCGGCAGGGAAATGAAATGCTATTTGCGCAGCAGCCTCATTAACGGCTTGCTTTTGTTACAAATGAAGCTAATCAACTTAACAGCTTACCTCATATAGCGTGAGTGAACGAGAGTTAGGACCAGAAGGGCGGAAGATCATCGAATGCTTCCGCATTAGTTCCACGCGTTCGGGATCATCCGATTCGCCCCGAAAGCTCATAAGTTCAGCCATCTCTTGATATGCAATTTCAGAACCTTGTTTTCTGCTATAAGGTTCTGGCTCAAACAACTTTTCTGAACGAGAAGCACAAACAGCTTTGGCCGCATTACGAATAGACTGGATATGGTCGGACTGTAATAAAACTGGCCTCCAAAAACTAAAGTTAACATATTTATGCTACAATGAAGACATTCATACCCCATCTTCTGAGAATCTGAAACCTCGATCTTCAAAAAATAAATAAAAAATAAAATTAACTTACGTTCGACTGTTCACATATTGTCTCCCCTGAAAGATAAAATTCGACTATTTAGATATTTTCGTTACCTTCTAGATCCTCGTCACCGGATGCAGCTGCTGCTGCGATAATTAAATTGTCTATTTCACTGTTTCTTGTTAGGGATGCCATCGATTCGGACTCCATAGTGCAAACACAAAACCCACAAGGACCCACCGAAGGACATCATTTGACCTTCAGTTCAGTTCAGTTCAGTTCAGTTCAGTTCAGTTCAGTTTGCGCAGGACGATGTGTGGCCTGGGCCAATCTTGCGTCCAGGTTGATGTGTTGTTGGCCGTTCTTGTGGCTTTCAACACTGCGAGTCAATAGGTTTTTTCTGAAAGGCAGAAAGTAAGGTGCAGTATCACGTCCTGGGCAATGGCGCTCAAGACTAATAGGTACTTACCATCAAACTGTTTCAGGGAAGGGGGAAGCCCAACAGTCATCTAATGCCCTCTTGAAGGCTATGACGTTCGAGCAACTTACCACATTTTCAGGTAGACTATTCCAGTAAGGTATTACGCGACTTGTAAAGAACTTGGTTCGAATGTCCAGCCTTACAAAACTAAGTTGTAGCCTTAAACTATATCCCCTAGTGCCGCTTGAGAGGATGAACTGGAACATGTCCTCAAACTTAAGT